CGTGAGCAAAATATGTTCTGGCGTACTCACGGCGAGAAGCACATTCTTGGTCTTGGAGCTGCTCGTGAGCGGGCGAAAGCGCAGGGCAGTGCACGGCATGCCAAAACCGTAGTTGTGGTGCGGCTGCATTAGTGTGTATGCAAGCGCCCCAGTGGCGACGTTGAAAATCTACGTTCGCTTGGCCCAAACAACATCGACGCTGAAGTGTACCCGAATGGCGCCGTCACCACACCCTGCGGCGAGAAGAGACCCGTCCGGCGAGAAGCGGGTGCAAAAGACCTCCGAGGGGCACTCGCTGCTGGGCGGTGAGAATCTCGCCACCAATGTTTGCAGCCGTACCTGATCGTGATGCTTGGCGCCAGACGTTTGATTCGCTCTACGTGTATATGAGATAGATGCGATTGCAGGCGAGGCCCTCGTACCGTCCATCGCTTCTTCTCCGTCGTTTGGCAAATGTAAATCCCAAAGATCCTAATTGCGTAACGTTCAACCAACACGACGAGTTTAGCCGTAGCGCGTTTAACTCTAGGCGCTCGATTATTCAAAGAGTACGGTCTATTGCACTCGGGACTGCGACAGAGTGCCGGGCCCTCAGGGCCCAGTGCTCTCAATGCGTAATGCGTCGACATGCACTGTTTGAATAATAATCCTCAGAATGCTCAGCAGATGCAGCTGGTGCATTATTTTGTCATTATGGCGTAACATAGTAGCTGGTGTCCTGCTCAAAAACGCATGAAGGTAGAACTGGGCCACTCTAGGCACAGTATATATTCCAGTCGTAGAATCCGATGCACAGAAGATCGAGACCAAGTACCTGGAACCATGTATAGGACCTTGAACCCAAATTTTGATTGGGCTACCGTGACTCTTGAAATGGCTCTCTGTGGGAGAAGGCGAACGAGGCGAAAGATTGAACCCCTCTACACTTCGCCACTTCCAAATCCCTGCAACAGTACACCGCCGCACCCGACACCGCTCCAAGACATGCTCGTTTTCTGGCTTATCATGGCAGTCCTCTGGACGAGCCTCTTTGACTTGCTGCCAAGCGGCTTCTACGACAAGTTCCCTATCGACACGGCCGACGCGACAGAAGAAACAGCATTCGCGGAACAGCATCGCCTTGCATGCGACCGCCGGGCGGCGACGGCCAACGTATTTTACTACTTTGTGCCGCTCCTCGCGTGCGCTCTCGTCTTCGAGTACATCCGTCTCCACACAGTGCTGCACTCGATGCTTCTTTTGCTCACATTTTTGCTCGCGCTCATGTTTCTCCAGCACGTCATCAAGGGTCGCATCCTTGAGCACAAACAGCACCAGTGGACACTCTGGGGCCTCGAGGCAACCGCCTCCATCATCCAGAGCCGCGTAGACGCCAAGGTCCAGGGCACCCCACTGCTGTCCCCTATCAAAGGCGCAGTACGTACGATCC